CGCAAGAGAGCTGTGCGCCCCCACACATTCCCCTACGAGAAAACGAATTAAAAAAAAACTTTAAGTGTACAAAAAGGTGGGTGGCTAACGCACAAGCCGACTGACAAAAACAATCTAGAAATGCGGAACATACTGTAGTTACAAAAAACAAGGATAATTGAATAGACTTCAACTAGAGACAAGTTGAGAACAGGTACGCGTTAGGTGCCGTAAGGCACAAGTACATCACAGTATTAAATCAGTGCTCCGAAGAGCCTTAATACTAAGGATTCAGTCTCGAACGTTCCTGGTTTGATTAGAAAGGGTTTGACAAGCTTCCCAGCACGCTTTGAGGGAAGCTGTCAAGATCACAACCTTTAATTAGGCAACGCAATACAAATGGACTTAAAACTAACGCAAGGGCTAAATGCTTATTGTTACTAAGGCTAAAGGAGACTTGGCGAGGAGTCCGACGCTGATCTGAGCGCGAGTAAGTTTTTACCATGGGAACAGGCCTAGTGGGGTCAACGCGCGGAACCGAGAGATCTAGAAGTGGAGTGGCGAGACTTTCCGGAACAAAATAAGCCGGTTTTAAAAATTCCGTCGATACGACCTTAGGCACTCCCTTCACCTCTAACTTGAAATCTTGATCTGAGACGCGCTCGAGAATTTTAAAGGGGCCAGAGTAGGGCCTCTCAAGAGATTTGACTGCTGGAGAAAAATGTGCGTGCACGAAGCGAGGTCCTTGAAGACAAAGGGACGCGTGCCGTGGTGATGTTCTACTGGCACTGGCTTGAGCTGACGCATGTGCTCACGGTAATCCTCAATAAATATTTAAGGATTAGCCATAAAGTCATCGGAGATAAAAAATTTCGCGGGAATGCGGAGGCTGGTTCCATAGAGGAATTTGTCGGGAGACGCGCCCGTGTCAAGACGCACGGCTGTGCGCAAGCTGAGAAGCATGGTTGGAAGGAGCGTTGCGAAGGCCAAAGGGCATAAAAACGTACTCGAAGAGACCAAAGGGTGTCGTGACTGCCGTCTTTAACACGCTACCGGGATTTGATACTAAGTTCTAAAGAGATCGAGCTTGGTGAAGATTTGCTTGCCTTGCAAGAGGATAGAGTAGTCGTGCAAGAAGGGAATCGGAAATTTATCCGGCACTGTACAATCGTTGAGGCGCCTGTAGTCGCCACAAATGCGCCAAGCACCGTCCTTTTTCATGGTCACGTGAATAGGGCTGGCCCAGGGACTCTTAGAAAGGCGACAAATTCCCTGTTTGACGAGGCTTTCAAACTCGTCACGAGCCGCCTTGTACTTCTCTGGGTCTAAACGCCTAGCACGCTCAGTGACGGGAGGACCAGAAGTTTCGATGTAGTGAAAGATTTCTTTCGCAGTGAGGGGATTGGAAGGTTTCTCCCCAGGAGAACCTCGGGAAACTCTGCTAATAGTTTGGAGAAACTAGAGTTGGCATCGAGAACACTGATCATAGTCGTTTGAGTTAGCCTGAAGCAACCGATTGAAAAGGTTCTGGAGTGTGGATCGACGACCTTATGCTGTTTAAGGTCGACCAAAAGGCCGAAAAAATGTAGAAAATCAGCACCAACAATTGGACTGGTGACATCTGCGCGATGAAACTTCCAAGGGAAGTTGCGTTTTAGGCGAAGATCAAGGACGAGGCTCTGTTCTCCGTAAGTGTTAATAATCGAGTCGTTCGTGGAAAATAGCTTAAATCGAGTAGGCGTATTATCACTAGCCTTCTTTGGAAGCAGCTAGATTTCAGCTCCTATATCGACGAGGAAACTGAGTCCTGAGACTACGTCGCGAATGTGGAAGCGCTTGGAAGAATTGCCAGCTCCACTCGAAGCTTCCGAACGAGGGAGACGGTTTAGTTTTCCGAGGGGGCTGGGTGCCAAGAGCAGTTGCCTCGGCAACGGTAGGCTTTACTGCCAAATTTAGCGTGCAGATAGCACAACCCATCGGTCCCGGCCTCTTGGTCCGAGGGTTTTTTATTACGCGATTTAGAAAGGCCGTGGTTAGAATTCCTGGTATGAGAACAGCCTCGGTTTTTCTCGAAAGATTCAAGGCGGTCGGAAATGCGAACGATTTCTTTACGCAGATCTGAGAGGGCCGAGGTAATAAGGTTCACGTCTACCGCGTTGACGCGAGAAACTTCGGTGCCAACGGAGACCATAAACTTGTCGGCTGCTTCAGCGAGTTTGGTCAAGTCAATGATTTCTGAAATGTAGAGCGCAGCACGACAATCGGGAGGCAGTTGTTCGAGGAAAATTGTTTTGAGCACGTCTTCCCCGCAGCCAGAACCAAGGGAACGCATGCGGCTAAGCACTAGAAAGGGCTTACCATCGAGAGAGAATTGAGTGCGTAAGAGTTGACGCGACCGATCTGCCGCTGAGCCACTGAAGGTGGACAGCAAGCAATTTTTGACTTGTTCGTAAAGATCGTTGGGACGCGGAACGCGGTCAAGCAAATCGATAACTACATTCATCGCATCGGCATCGAGCTTTTCCGCGACGAAATCTGCCTTAGTGACAGACGCAGTTATTCCTTGATTCCGGAGAGTAATTTCGCACTGTGAGAACCAGACTCTGGGGTCATTGCGCAAAAAGCCCGGAATCTTCGGAACCCTATAGGCCGCTACCTGAGGTGCAGGACGAGCTGTGGCAAGGGCAGCTGTGAGCTGCTGGTTCTGATCAACGGCTTGGCGGAGGGCGTTTTGAAGCTCCTTGACCTGTTCCTGAGTGGCCATGACAAAGCTGGTGGAGCGCTATCAGTGTTGTCAAAGGACGGGCTAACTTGCACTCGCAGGTGCAGTACAACAGTAAAAAAAAAAAATAAACCGACACTGATAAAAACGCAGCAACAGGTTACGCGTCTGTCAGTGTTGACAAAGGAGCTAATGTGCACACGCAGGTGCAGCACAGATGAAAGGCTACACGACACTGACCCAACTTAAAACCGTTCAATACTACGCACTAACGACAAGATGGGAGGCAAAAAAATTGGTAAAAGAGAAAAAAATAAAATAAAAACTCTTGAACACTAGCCGCGTAAAATAATAAACGATTCCGACGTGCGCACAAGCAAACAAAACAAGAGTTCTACGAAGTGCTCGCTTGCTCGATGCCACGCACGCACGCGAAAACTCGCACACAGACAATTCTTACAAAGACGCTAAAAAAAAAAAGAAAACGCGATTCGAAGAATCAAACAAAGGTTTGAAATACGTGCACACCGTTTTTGCAAAATGCACCACCAACGCACACTAACGAACACTGACGCTCACGAAATGTTATTGTCTGTGACCTCTGCACAATCACTCGCTCGCTTACCTGAAGTTCGAGTGAAGAGATGATTCGGGCATGTTGACGAGGTCCGCTCGAGTGCAGCAGGTATGGGCCCTAGGGTGCCGCGCCGTCGAGAAGGACGTGCAGACAAGGCACTTGGGCGATGAAGGCACGAGGCGTGCTGATGCACGCGGAGTTGGCGGCAAGGCGTGCTGGGACACGCAAAGGCCGAAGGCGAGGCGTGCTCAGACACGCAGGCGAAGGTTGGGCGCGCTGGAGTTCTCCGCACGAAGGCCGCCTTCTCCTCCACGTCGAGGGGTCACCAATGTGGGAAACTTGTCACCCTGAGCAGGAATGTCAGAGGATGGCAGCCCACAGCTGCCAGGTACGTGGATGGAGGAGAGAGAAGTAACCCGATCTAAAGACAAAGAAACTTTATTAGCAACGAGTTACATTACAGCTGATTCGTGAGCTACAACATGTGCTCAGTTTAAGCAGCAAGTAGAGACTGTTGCATGCGCGCAAGCCACGGGACAGGCCTGGGCCTGATCGGTCAGGCAGAGCGGAGAGTTGCCGACTCTGGTCGCAGGAGAGCTGTGCGCCCCCACACCTTCTTTGGGTGAACGGGCTCTAGTGTTTTCTTAACGTACTAGACGCACATTCCCCGCGCGCGGCGTTTAAATTTGAATTTTCGTGTTTAAAATAGGAGTTTTTTATAAATGAAATATATTTTATATAAAAAAAAATGTGTACCCTTGAATTGTCTATTGGACGGATTTCTTATTTTAAGAAATTAAAATAAATAGAAGAATATAAATATAAATGTAAAGCGTATATTATAAATTGTAGGTGATAGAATATAGAAGTGCCCCCTTGCAACCTGAAGGGATCTTGCGATGCTGAGAGAGAGTTATCCATGGTGTAAGAATAGACAGGTGGGCCGAAGGCCCGCCTCCATCGAGTCCAATTTGTGTCGCAGTACATCTAAAATCCGCTAGGTGGTTTCGAGTAGTAGAGGCAGTTTTTATTATGGTCATTATGACTATATAAAAAAAAAAAAGAAAAAAGAAAAAAAAAATTTTCATACTATTAATGGCCTGCACGACACGGATCCCTCTGGTGGCTAGTATCGGTACTGCGACAAAATTTGAACTTTTTTTACAATGCGTTGAGGTACTTGAGGTAGGCCTTCGGCCCACCTGTCTATTCTTACACCATGGGGTTATCGTCATACCAGAGAAAAGTTGCGTGCTCTCTCTCTCTCTCTCTCTCTCTCTAAGGCTGCGCCACGCAACGAGGCTATCCTGCAGCGCAATAGACTTAACACAGCCGCTTATGGGAACAATTCTATCCTGCTCGCTCTATTGCGCTCCATGTGACTGCGGCCTAACTCACCTGGGATTGGTCGAGTGGTTGTGTCGTCAAGAGGTAAGGGGAAGGGGTACGACTAGTACGAGTGTGAATTCTTCTCTTCTGCTTCTATTGACAAGTATAACACTATAACTGCCATTTATGGCTTATACTTTTTCGCTGATTGTCAACAGAAGCAGAAGAGTAGAATTCATACTCGAACCCCGTCCTCTTACCTTACCTCTTAACGCCACAGAAAGTATATGCATGATTAAAGAATGGAACTGATAAAATGGAACAAAAATGAAATGATTGGAGCGAATTAACTGAACGAATAGTACAAACCATACGATGATAATTGAACACGCCCTTAGCTAAGGCTGATCTTGGTACAATATGCGTTTTATCAAGCAATAGAGTCGCTTACTTATAAAAAAACTATCATTATTTCGCGATGGAAATTTTCAGGAAGCTAGTTTTGTTACTTTCCAGAAGATTTCTTTATAAAATTCATGAAGAAACTAGTAGTTTGATATCAAAAAAGTAACCGAATTTTATTTGAAATCCCTAAAAATTAGTCTTATTCTAAAATTTAGTTGGTGTGCCTAAGATACATTTATCAATTCTAAACAAAAATTTTGAAAAAATATGCTAATATATAAATAATACGTATAATAATAGATTTATCTTACTAGTTAAGAAATTAACTAAGTGCAGAGATGGATCAGAACAAACCACAGACGATACGAATTTTTTTAAAAACCTGTATTGAAAACAAAGATGAACTAGAAGAGGTAATATTTCACGATACAAATTATAATAGACGAATCATAATGTGATCAAAAATAAAATTTTGTCATGATGCTCTTATTATTACAGAAGTTTGACCGCTGTTACAATGTGTTGCAAAATTTATGTATTGGATTATCTGAAAAGGATATTCATGATAATCTTAATAACGCCGTTTGTAAAGATAAAACTCATGAAGAAGTATGTTTGGGACTTTTAACAAGTATTTTGACAAATCCTCAAGATGCTGTTAAGAATTATAGAGATTTAACTCTTGTCTCTCGTGATGGGTTAGCTGTTGTATTAAATCATCTTAATCAAATGGTTATAGAAAAATATTTAAGATTAAGTGAAATTGTCAGAGGTCAATTATTTTGGATTTTACGAGAAATGATAAGAACAAACATTTCCAACACTGATAATATTTGTTTAAGTCTATTAAGATATGCTGCAGGTGGCGACACATCTCAACGAAATTTGTTTCTTATAGATGCAATTTTAAATATTTTTCAAGAAAATAGATTGTGGTTGGATAAATTTCCGTTTCTTATAGCTTCAACAGTTTATACTTATCTTCGGTTGATAGAAGATCATAGTGCAGCTCAATTGGCTAGCTTGAGACAGAAAGAAGTCACTTTTACCGTTTCATTATTACGAGAAAAAATAACTGAATGTCTGGTTATTGGCAGGTACACTTATTTGTATTTTCGAATTATTTATTTTTTAATTTAATAAATCGTTCAAGTTTATTTACCAAAATATTTTTTAGAGATCTTGTACGCCTATTGCAAAATGTGGCAAGAATACCAGAGTTTGAACAGTTGTGGAAAGATATTCTATTGTATCCTAAGTCTTTATCTCCAAATTTTAGTGGAATACTGCAAGTTTTACAAATGCGAACATCTAGAAGATTTCTTCAGTTAAGGTTAACTCCTGACATGGAACGAAAACTTGTGTTCTTGACTAGTCAAGTACGTTTTGGTAACCACAAGCGTTACCAAGAATGGTTTCAAAGACAATATCTTGCTACACCCGAATCCCAGACATTAAGATGTGATTTGATTAGATTTATTGTTGGTGTTATACATCCTACAAATGAATTGCTTTGCTCTGATATAATACCTAGGTGGGCTGTAATTGGATGGCTCTTTACAACTTGTACACTACCTGTTGCAGCCAGCAATGCAAAATTAGCCTTATTTTATGATTGGTTATTTTTTGAACCAGATAAAGATAATATAATGAATATAGAACCTGCGATTTTAGTTATGCAGAATTCTATGAGGTCACACCCTGCTGTAACAGCAACTTTATTGGACTTCTTATGCAGAGTAATTGATTTACTATTTTTATTTTATAATACCGTTTTACCTTACACTTTTTTACATGCATATTATGTTGTGAACTAGATAATTCCAAATTTTTATCCATCTTTAGAAGAAAAAGTAAAAAATGGTATATTTTCTTCTCTTCGTCAAATATTAGAAAAACGAGTGCTTCCAAGTTTATGTCCTTTGTTTGATAGCCCAAAATTAGATCGGGAACTTCGAACTAAAATAAGAGAAACTTTCAAGGAATTTTGTTTTTCATCCTACAATGAAACAGGTGAGATAATTCATTGCTTACCCATGTTTTTTGTCACAGTCCATAGTAAAGTAATATTTTACTAATTTCAAAAATTGTTGAATACTGGATAAGTATTTTTTAAAAGTCATCACTAAGGAGACTCTGAGGAGAGTATTTTTTTCTTTGAGTATTGTATTGTGTAATTACTACTCTTTCTCCAGACACTTTTATACATCATATATGTTATTCGCTACGTGTAACCGCCTGTGCTGCCGTCCTTGTGGTCACCCGTGGAAATGACTTAATGTATGTAAACAAATCCAAATCGTTTTGGTGAGATGGGAGAAAAACTATATAAATGAAATTAATTATTGTGTTCATTTATATACGAGCGATAAAATCAATGTAACCATAAGGAAGTTGTATATTTGACAAAAAAAGTAAAATTTGGCTCAATTATATTTTATATTTAAAGTAAAAATTAAAATTTTTTGTTTTTAAGGTTGTGTGCTTTCAGTTCTACACCGAATGAGATGGAGATTACCTTAAGGGGATTAGAGAAAAAAGAAATTTCGTACGACAGTCTTGAAAAGATTATAATGTATTTGTTTTCATTATGTTAACAACATATTGAAATTTTAGGAACCGTAGTGTTACAGTTTTTGAGAAAAAAAACAGGAAAGGTAGAATCTTATACACAGGCTCTTATGAGAACGTCGTCACGAAATTTACATTTTCCCCAATAACTTGGAAAATATTTTACAAATCTTTTGAAAAAAAATTTGAAAAACAATTGGTTTGAAAAATACCTCAATTGAAAGTTTGAACAAAATGCTGTTGGTATATCTATATACAGCAGACGGGAAATAAAACGTACTTAATTCCAGTTTTAAAGTATTAATTGTTTTATTCTCACCTATTAGTAATCTTCTGCCAAACGATTCAGAATAACTTGTATGATTTATCAAGAATAATGATAAAAAACACTTATTTTTAATTGAAATCAACTTTTGAGGCTGACCGTAACGCTCTAACCCCCCTTAAGGTGGTTCTTTCATGACTCCCGAGTCAAAGGTGCGACTATCCAGTTGATATTTATACATGCTGCTTAATTTTCAGAAGATTATTTGGTAATATTGTTTATTGAGGCAAATTAATTACTAATTCAAAAATTTTAGATAATGATATATGATATAAAAGTTCGTAGGAATGATTTATATCTCAAATTTTTGGTTAATCTTAAAATACCAGCAGTGGATGCTTGCCTATGCTTTCAACATAGAAAACGAAAATGTATGCCTGTGTTCCTTTTAATATCTTTTGCTTAAGTCCGTGAACACATGTATTTTGAGGTAGCAGTATGTTTGTAATTGCATAAGCTTTATTGTGTCAGTTTTTTACTTAATTATATTCAATAAATAAATAACTAGGCTCCAACTTCCAGTAAAAAAATGCTTAGTTGCCATAAGAGCCGATGTTTACAATTTAATTTTTATTTATCATTTTCTTGCATTTACATTCGTCAGCCTACTCTGAAATTTTGAGGGGTAGTGTATTGTAACTTAATAAACGATTCTTCAAGATTTCATACCATTCTGTTCTTAATCATTTCATGAAAGATTCACCTTAATCATGTAAGAAACACCAAGAAACGAGTCCCTGCATGTGCATACATACCTTTTTCACACTAACGGTAATCTTCATCTCAGTCAGTGTAGAACTAAAAGCATGCAACCCCAAATAAAGAGAGAAAATTTGATTTTGATCTTAGCTATAAGATGAATAAAATTATATTTTTTTCTATCAACCATACGCGTCCCTTTATAGTCAAATTAGTATTATGGCTCTAATATAAATTCATTATAATTAATTTGATCTAAATGATTTTACTCCTATCCCTGCAATACGATTTGGCTTTCTTATACATTTAGTCGTTTCCGCAGGTGTCCACAAGGGCAGCAGCACAGGTTGTTACGCGGATGTGATTGGCGCCCGAGCCCGATCGGAAAGCTTAGCTGGATATTGGGTCGTCCCTACTTTCGCTGCCGACTTATCCTACCTGCGGCCAAGTTGGGCTCAAGTAGGACCCTACAGGGGTCTTGTTTTTGGGCAAGCGTTGCGGGACCGGCGTGGTGAGGGATTAGAATCAATAACTCAATAACCCTTGCCAAAAATTTGTGAATAATGGCCCCAGGTTTTACGCGTAATTTGAAATCGATTATCGAGATTGCCTGGTCAGTTAAATAAATTCTTTTTTTTTTTTTTTTTTTTCAACTCAGCGGAGAAAAATTTACGAAGGTTCGGTCGTTTTTGAGAAGATGTATTCACTCGCTGAAAAAATCTAATGTTGTACTTTTACATGCTTAAAGTACGCATTCATTTTTTCATAATTTTTACCAGCCGAATAATCAAGAAAAAAATTTCCGAAATTGCATTATCTAACATTGGTTTTATGAGCAAGAGTGATTATCACCTTTGTTGCACAAATTTTGAGGCAAGAGATGTATTCATATTGAGGAAAAAGTTTAAATGGATAACTTAACTTCTAAGGTAGACTCTTGTATCAAAAAATATGCACCTTATCAGGCATTTGAAAAAAATATCTGTACAAACGTTAATAGTCACGAGCAAGTCCTATGCTAAGTGTATGAGAGAGAATCGAGCACTGTCTGCTGTCAGCTGGTCTTTTCACACGGAGCGAGACGTCTTTACAAAATTTCAAATGCTTCTAGAATTTGTTAAACTTGAAACCATGATCTGAAACTTGACACAGCCCTCATCAAGACCTCAAACTATAATGCTGTGCAAAAAAAAGTTTGTTCTTAGAAAATTTATGATACACTTTTGTTGACGAAAACTGAGTGTCCTTCTACTTATTTAAGGATAATTGTTATCGTGCAAACGACATGTTTTCAAGTTTTGTACACGAACTATCGGAAACCAGCTGCTTTAAAGTATGTACCGTAATTTTTTTATAACATTTAATGGTTTAACCTTTGAGCACTGACGAGTTAAACACAGTTAAGTGAACTGTGATGTAGTGAGCGGACGTTTTTATGTACGGTTAGTACAACTCACTTCAACGCGTTGTCTCATGGAAGCCCCCGTATACCCGCTTACGACCCCCTGAAAAAACGACCGGACCTCCTTAAGAGGTGGCCCAATTACTAACTCTGCTCAATCGGTAAACGCACAAAAATTGAAGTTGTGAAGGTGAGAGGAGCGAAGGGTGGGTAAGCTTTTAAAATAAAAACAGTTAAAAGTATATTTTGTGCAAATATTTTTTATAAAAATCCACGTTATAGAACTAAGTTGGCGTGTGAGCGCGCAAACAAAACTTGATACATATATTTTCTAAAAACACACATTAAAGAACTTATTTTCTGTACGAGTGCACAAAGAGAATTTGATACGCATATTTTTTTTATAATACTCTCACTAATATTTTTTTTTGCGAATCGAAATAAACATTTAATTTAACACAAATACATTTATTGAAAAAGTATTTTCAGAACTTTGAACATAAAGTATCATTTAACTTCAGGTAACTTGTTTTAACATAACGTATTTTGAAAAATTTCACTCGCAGAAGAGTCCACTGTCTAATAATTTTAAAAATAGACTGAAACCTAATGTAGAGGAAAGCCAAAGAGCGATGAAATAATTACACATTTCGAGTAAACAATTTACTACTCATAAGTCTACAGGAAATAGGAAGATGTATTAGCTTAAAGTACAACGTCGGTAAAAATTATGGTAATGTACTTATTACGTACGGTCCTAAAATAATATTTAACTGTATAAGGTGTAGTGTAAAAATTTTGAAAATTCAAAATATAGTTTTAATATATTTATTTTTATCAAAGTACATCGTAAAATAAAAAATATTTTTAAATTAAATGACGAAGAATGTTTTAATATAGAACAGTATTATTTATGCAATTTAGAATTAAATATCATTTAAATATATTTCTAAACAGTCTGTAGTTAGCTCTAAAAATACCATGTCAAAATAAGTTCCAAAAAAAAAATTGTCATCCGTGCTTGGTAAGTGCAATCATGTGGATGTAGGACTTTTAAAGAAGAACAACTTAGAATGTATTATAAACATACATTCTTTATAAAACCACACATTATAGAATTAAGCTTACATATAACTTTAAATAATGCACTATTCTATAGTTTTACTTAAGCTACCTAGTTTGAGTATACATATATGTATA